TTTTCATCTTGATCTGTCTCCGGTAATAGGGCGTACCGGTGCAAAAGTTTATGATCGTTTTACTCAGAAAATACGCTTCATGCGTCCAGAAAATGTCAGTCAAATCTAAAGTCGCCGAACATCGAACATCAAACTGAGTCATATATATATATATATATATATATATATATATATATATATATATATATATATATGACTAAGTTTGATGTTCGATGTTCAGCGGACTCTTTAGATTTGACTGACATTTTCTGGACGCATGAAGCGTATTTTTATATATATATATATATATATATATATATATATATATATATGTGTATATATTGATACAGCGTACCGGTCCAAGACTTTGTATGTATAATTATCAGGAGGTCAATTTCCACCAGCGCGCGGAGTTGAGAAAGAATTGAAGGAGTCCGCCTTTTTAATGGGATCTTTTGTCTGGATATATCTCCTGTAATAGGGCGTACCGGTCCGAGATTTTGTGTTCATTGTGCTCAGGAGATTAAACTGCATCTGTATGTAAAGTTTCAGGCCAATTTGAGGAGTCCAGTGAATCGCGAATATGGGCCTGAATCTGAATGTGAATGTGGCGCCAACTTGACGAACGCTTGTTTACATGGGTTGCCTGGAAACGCATGCACGGAAAAAAATATATGCATCCGGTTGCAGGCCGGAGCACGTGTCCTCCGTAAGCAATTGTGACCCAACCGGGGTGGTCAACGGAGCGTCGTTGTGGACCGTCGCTTTGATCGCAAACGTCCTGGAGGTCGATGCTATCTAGCTTTCGACTTTGTTCGTTTCGCCGGGGTTACCTGTAAGGTGACGAGCTTTCTGGCATGCCAGAACATTCTAGAGCATTCCACAGCCGCTCCGGCGATCTATCTGCGACACCGGCCGTGACAGCACGCCTCCCAGACTATTCATAATTTAACTTTGAAAACTACATCAGCGTGTCGGCCGATTTATTCTCCCTCTCCATGTCAGTCTTTTGTTGATCACGTTTTGACATTGTCGCTCGCAAATGAGCCCAGGTTAATGGGATGCATGGCGGATTTTTTCAACCGCGACGGGACGGCGCCGTCCGGTGTCTCGGCCGGCGTCGGAGTTTGCTTCAAGAATCGAACGACCGTCTAATCACATGACTGGCAGCCGTAATAAATTACTTCCGACCGATTAAGCTATCTCGCACTAAGATTCGACGACGGTGGGTCGCAGCGACACGGGAATGCTCGTGTACCATGCGAGATGGTACTGTCACACGTAATCACGTGGCACGGGCTCACAAATGGACTTTGCTCTCTTCCACGGGTTTGCACGCTTTGTGCCACATGTCGGCCTTCTGGTGATACGCTGACCGCTTTGGGTTGCCGAAGCAGTTGGTGATCATGGTGCATATTTTGGTGATGGAAGTGGCAATTCTGGATCTTCAATTAATTTTATGTCCACTGCGCTGAACGCGGAGCAATATGATAAATTACAGTGAAAAAACATACGAAGCAATCAAAACAACTGTCAACTTGAAAATTTGTACTGAAAATATAAGTTTCCGGTCTTCACTGTTCGCTGAAGCCCGTGCTGAAGTTAATGTCCCTGGGCGGAGGCGTCATGTCTTACGGCGCGAAATGGAGGCGTCTTCATGTTGATCCTCTGCTTCCCTTGCTACGCGCGGTGCGTACTGATCAGTGTGGCTCGGGGTGGCGTCCTTTTGGGCCTAGCAAGTGATCGCGGTACAGTCAGCGCTGCTTTGTGATGCCTCAGTCGGCGAGGGTCAGACGTCTGAAGAAGCAAGCTGCGTATCGGCGTAAGAGGGAGGTAGGATATGGGCGAAATAGGCCTGATGTTCGCCGGTTAGCAATGCCGCTGTCTTGTGATAGAAGGATTCGATTCGCCATGACACGTCAGAAAAACCGCGAGCAAGATTCAGTCATGTCCAAGGCCCTTGCCATTGCGATTCGGGCGAAATAAGCCTGATGTTTAGCCGATTAACAATGCCTTTGTCTCCCAGCCGCAGAGCGTGAAAGCTGGAGGTGAGTTAACAAGATCCGGGCGAAAGAAGCCCGATGTTCACCGATTAGCAATGCCATTGTTTTCGAACTGAGACGCCGTGCAAGTGTTGGCCGGCGGCGGCCGGTGACGTGCCGTGGACCGTACACTGATCCGCTTGCGCCAACATTTACAGTGCACGCGATGTATACTATTCATTGTGGTGTAAGTCGGAACGATTACCGGTGTAAACTGTGTGGATTGCGCGCATGTGTGAGTCACAGTACATGCCGTTCATTGTAGTGTAAATCCGAACGATTGCCGGTGTGAACGGCGCGGATCGCGGTTTGATATGTCACGGTGCATTGATGGGGAATCGAACCAACAAGGACGCGGTATAGATTGCAACGTCGCGTGTGCGAGAGCCAAGGCAATTGATTTGGCATCTACCGACCGTATTTCACAGTTCAGTACAATGCAGTGCCGTTTGATACAACGTCAGTGCGTGCTGCCATCATTTAAAAAAACTGGTAGTTGTTGGAAGGGCATGTTACCTGCATTTCATTAAAGAAGAGGCCACAGGAGCCACATGTGTTGTGGATAACACTACATGCGACACTACTTGGCACTAATCTGTAACGCGTCAGCGGGACCCCTCGCTAACAAAACTAACGAAGACGGAATGCTTGTGCGATGCATGAACTTGTTTACTGGGTGGTGGGGGGGGGGGGGGGGGGGGGTAAGGGCGCTTCGACTGCTGTAGGTCATGCAACAAATTGTTTACGTCTTCTGTGCTCATCACTAGATAAGCCGGATGATGGTATCCGTAGCCGTAGTCTATTTATACAATGGATTGTGGCATAGCGCGTCTCTGCTGCCTCATTAGGCTTCGACTGCTTCATTAGGGCTCACATGTGCACTTAAAATTGCGCAACGTCGAAGGTTTTAGAACGCCTCATCCCCTGTGTTTCGAGGCCGCTCGCCAGCGCCGCCCAGCGGCCCCGCACTTTATAAACTGACGCATACTGCGCGGCGAGAGGCAGACGCGGCCCGACCACGACCAGGGCCGGGGCGCAGCGCAACGCGAGCGGACTACTACCGAGTATAGTCAGGCTTTTCACGCTGGTTCTCTGATGGGCAATAGTGAAAAGAAGAACGCATGTCACCAGAGTGAAGCGTTACAAATCGCACGACTCCTGCTATTCCTTCAGGCTCCGCGTTGCCCCCGTGCGTGTCCATAGCTAGTTTTCGAATACGTTGTGGCTGCGTTTGTGTCGTGCGCCGGCCTGCTTCGGGTCAGCAGGCGACCCCAGCCGTTCGCCCCTCCCCTCCCCTCCCCCGTCGCGAATCGAACCGCCCCGGAGGCCATTGCCGACGGGTGGCGGTAACGGGGCCGGACCGGGCGGCTTTACCGCGCCTCGCAATGTGCGTATGTCACTGCGATATATGATGTGATACCCGGGGGCTCAGTGCCAACAGCCGTGTAGGAGTTGCCAGATGGCACTAAGAGTTCCAAATAAGTTGTTCTCCATCATTTCGGACGGGGTCCCGGCGCCATTGACCGCCTTGGATGTGTTCTTGCGGGTGGGATATTTTCGGACAGAGGCCGTCCTTGTTCACAAACACCGTTGGTGCCCCGAGGGCGTTACTGGGCGGTCACAGGGCGGCGTCGCGCCCGCACCCGCACCGCCAGCCGGCTGTCCTCGCGCTGGTAGGTGGCGCTGCGCTCAGCGCGGGCTGCGGCAGGGCGGGACGGGCAGGCCGGTCCTGACTGCGGCCGGGGCGCACTCAGTCGGGGGTGGGGCCAGCTGGGGCGCGTGAGCGACCGGCGGAGCCACGCCAGTGCTCTCGGGATGAACGGATACAACCAGTTCTGGTGCGCACAGCGCCAGCAGAACCGGTTCGTCTCTGTGCCGCCCTACACCTACTGTGATGCGGTCAGTACTCCAGCCTGCGGTCCTGCGCAGGGGCATTGTGTGCTTGGAGGTTGCCTGCGTCTCTTACGGACGCGAGCGTTTGGCGCCGGTACAGATGCTTTGTGCGTGAAGTTTTTGTGCAAGTGGTCGTCTCTGTCAACGTGGGCCGAAGTGTAGGCCGTCTTTGTGTCTTCTTCCGGGCGGTGCGTGTGTGTTTGAGTCTGTTAAACACTTCTATTGCCCGGCTAGCGCCCGGGTCAGGCCGCAGGTCGGCTGTGTGACCGCTCTTTGCTCCCCCCTCTCCCTCCTCTCCTCCCCCCTCTCTCTCCTCTCCCTCCTCTCTCCTCTCTCCCCCCTCTCTCCTCTCCCTCCTCTCTCCTCTCCCCCCTCTCTCTCCTCTCCCCCCTCTCTCTCCCTCCCCCCTCTCTTCTCTCCCCCTCTCCTCTCCCCCTCTCTCCTCTCCCCCTCTCTCTCCTCTCCCCCCCCTCTCCTCTCCCCCCTCTCTCCTCTCTCCTCTCTCCTCTCTCCTCTCTCCTCTCTCTCTCTCCCTCTCTCTCCCCGTCTCGCTCGCTCACTCGATCTCTCCCGCTCTCGCTCTCTTGATTTGCTGTTTTTGTTTGGCTGTTTACTTGCTCGCTTTACTCGCTTTGCTCGCTGTCCGGCTGACACTAAGCTAGACCTACATTTCGGAGAAGATGTCTGCAGGCGAAGCAGCGGGCTGTCCAGTGTTGCCGTCTCCAGCGGTATCGGCCTGCGCGCTGGACCGAAGCATGCCGCTTTATCAGCCTCTGCCATCTGCGGTTTCCAGCACTGCTGTCATGCTGTTACCTGTTTTGATCCACGTGAGCGGCCCCATCACAGCTTAACTGTGAACTGACGGACGTCAGCAGAGGAAAAACGCCGCCAAGCTCCCTGGCGGTTGACCGGATTGTTTTCGCTTCATGATCGTGCAGATCTAGCGCCATTAAGCCCGGCTTACTCCATCAGCTCGGTTGTTGTTCAGGCCATGGTCTCGGTCGTACAGCGTTTGGGCTCTGCATATTACCAAGCCATCTGGGCTATACCCCACCGGGGGGTGTTTCCTCCATTGTCATTTTTAAAGTGCATCAAGTTTCAAACCACGTGCGGCCCATCCCAACCAGAATGACAAAGTTTTGAATAGCTGAGGCCGTGCTTACACAATGCCACTTCGTTCTGTTTTGTGTTGAGATTTTATTGTATCGACTTTAACACGCGCTCAGGTGGAGGTCAAATTGCCCCCCCCCCCCGAGGGTTTTCCCGGAATGGTTTCCGAACGACGCGGCGTAGCCGCGCCAAATTGTTCATAGCAGCAGACAATAGAATAGCGGATCGTATGCGTTACAAACTTATATGTGCATTGTAAGGTCGCTGACCTGCGGCAGGTCAGTTATGCCATGGATTCAGACAAGTCAGTTTCTAAGGAAGCTCTGAGATACTTTGTTAGGCAACACAGCAATTGAATGACCAATTTCCATCGACTTAGGGTCAGCTATGAAGGTCAGAACAAGGTCAAGACTAACCTGCTTTATTACTTTAGGGCTTGCTGTACTAGGTAGTTTCTGGTACTCGTTTCTGGTTTACTGATGACAGGAAACGCATTGGACATCTTCATGGACTTCTTAAAGGTCAGAATAGGTCATTGACCTAAAATGCCTGTATTCGGGGTCACATCGCGGCTGGACCACCCCGCACACAACGGCGAACTGCCGCACGCAACGCCGACAGAGAGACCCTCTCTACGCGCCCGAGCAGCACCTCTTATACTCCTTTCGAGCCCACCCACAACACGATCGGCGTGCGACTCGCCGGCACCACCGCGTCCCACCTCGCCGCGTCCACGGGCTAACGCATCGCCCCTGAGTCGTGACCGTTTCCCTACGTTAACACTGTCCTGGGGCGTGATCTATTGCCGCATATGGTCCACCGCTACAATGCCCCAGGTCAAGATTTCGTTTCAAGGAGCATATTGCCTAGCGCAATCTTTGTCGCTTATTCAGATGCAAAACCCAAAGCGGTCTTGTTTGTCTTTTCCCTTGCCGATCTGTGTGGCAAAACGCCAGCGCGGCGTGACTGTGCGGTCGGGACGATTATGTGGTGGTGTGGCGCCATCTGCTAACGCTTAGTCAGCCGGCCCGGCCGAGAGGGCCACCGCCTGCAGCGTCAGCGTCATGTGTACAGCTTCGCTAACGCGCACCAACAAGTCAGATGTAATGTGATGCAACCGCACGCCGACAAAGCAACCCCGCTGCCGACCGCGCCCCGCTCTGTGCGCCGGGCCAGCGTTCTCCGAAAAGCCGCCGTGGTATGAAGAGTGAGCTTGTGCCCTGCCTGTCTTCCTCAGATATACAGCAAGGCGAACGGTCTTTGAGGAAATGTGCACAATTCGTGTCGAGTCGCATTAATAGGGTGGTAGCGCTCAAGCGCGCGACCTCAGCGGCATGGTAGCCGCCTCCGGCCCGTGTCCGAGCCGAGCCGGGCCGACGCACGTGGTGCCGCACGTGTGGCGGCGGTGGCCCGTGGCCGGCCACCTGGCGCCTCGTCTTGCGCTGGCTGATCTCATGTCATCTCCGTCCGACCGCGCGACTGGAAGGGGGCTGGACATCGGGTCGGATAGGTTGGGGGCATGGGATATCTCTTGGCGCCCAGTTTTGACTGAACCGCCGTGTCTAAATGGGTCGTGTGGTCTGGGGCCGTCGGGTGCTACTGGTCTGTAACAGACGGTAGCACTCCACGTGCTGACGGGGTGTTCCACGCGGGGACCGACGGGACAGTTTTGAACTTTTTCCACACAGCTAAGAGCCTTGCGATCTGTCATTGCATTCATAGACCTTGGCATTTAGATGCGAGACTTGACATTTGGCCGCTGTTTATGCGCCCGTTTGATATATACAGTGGCGGAGCATACACAGTGACGGAGCGTTGCTCAGGTGAAGACAGAGGATGTGCAGTGTCCACCTACAGTGTCCAGCCTATGTCAACACTACGTTGCTCTGTGTAGATAATGGAGAAATATGTATGCACGTGAAACGGCAGGAATGAAAATGCTATTTTTTTGGCACAAAAACGCCTCAGGGCGGGTTGTGTCGCAGGAAACATTTGAAACGTGAAACACTTAAAGGCATATTACGTGCCATCCCCCCCCCCCCTTCATGCTGTAAACCATATGAAACGGTAGTTCAGTCAGAGGCGAGTCCAGGAACGGCGAAAAGGAGGACGAGAGGGTGTCGCAGTGCACAGGGACCATGGTCGTTAACAGCTGACATTCGCCGTGTGGCGGCCACTTCAATAGGCCACGCTCAGATCGCGCGTCATCGCTTCCCCTGCTTTGGAAAACTGGATACGGCTATGAGATGTTCACACACGCTATGATACGCGTCCAAGCACCGTGAGTAATTTAGGGGTGGATATGGGGTGGTGCGCCCACGCGCTGCCACTCTTCATGTGACGCGGTGCGAGTCGTGCGTATTTTCCCACAGACCGTTCGTCTTACTGTATATTTTGAGGCAGACGGGCTGGGCTTAAGTTCATTGTTGTTTCCACGGCGGTTTTAAGGAGAGCACTGGCCCGGCCCACAGAGCCGGGCGCGGTCGGCACCGGGGTGGTTTTGGTGTGCGGTTGCATGTCATTAAACATGATTTGTTGGTCTGCGTTGGCATAGCTGTACACGTGATGCTGACGCTGCAGGCGGCGGCCCTCTCGGCCGGACAGGCTGACTAAGCGTGGACGGATGACACTACGAATATCAATGCTGAGGTCGAACGGGAGTTAGGGAGCAGGGCGAAAGAGTAAGGGGGCCGAATGAGCGCTACTTGGGGAACGCAACTATACATGCATTTAGTAGTAGACAACGAGGGTAAATTGTGCCAGAAAATTTCAAATACGGTCACAGTATTTTTTTTTCGTTTTCGAAGGTGATGCACTTATAGCGGCCAATGATGGCCGAATGTCGTACTTGGGCCGGGCTGGGCAGGACGGCCGAAGGTGACCGAGTATCGCACTTGGGCCCGGCTGGGCAGGACCGTCCGACGCCCGTTCCCGTTGTGCGGTGGCAGTAAAATATTGGGTGGTGAGGTGGAGGAAGGGAGGGCCTCCCCGTATCACGTTACAGCAAGCGGAGCTTGCTTGCAATATTTGAGGAAGACAGGCAGGGCACAAGTTCACTGTTGTTACCACGGCGGCTTTTAGGAGAACGCTGGCCCGGCGCACAGAGCGGGGCGCGGTCGGCAGCGGGGTTGCTTTGTTGGTGTGCGGTTGCATGACATTACATTTGACTTGCTGATGTGCGTTAGCGAAGCTGTACACATGACGCTGACGCTGCAGGCGGTGGCCCTCTCGGCCGGGCCGGCTGACTAAGCGTTAGCAGATGGCGCCACACCACCACATAATCGTCCCGACCGCACAGTCACGCCGCGCTGGCGTTTTGCCACACAGATCGGCAAGGGAAAAGACAAACAAGACCGCTTTGGGTTTCGCATTTGAATAAGCGACAAAGATTGCGCTAGGCAGTATGCTCCTTGAAACGAAATCTTGACCTGGGGCATTGTAGCGGTGGACCATATGTGGCAATAGATCACGCCCCAGGACAGTGTTAACGTAGGGAAACGGTCACGACTCAGGGGCGATGCGTTAGCCCGTGGACGCGGCGAGGTGGGACGCGGTGGTGCCGGCGAGTCGCACGCCGATCGTGTTGTGGGTGGGCTCGAAAGGAGTATAAGAGGTGCTGCTCGGGCGCGTAGAGAGTCTCTCTGTCGGCGTTGCGTGCGGCAGTTCGCCGTTGTGTGCGGGGTGGTCCAGCCGCGATGTGACCCCGAATACAGCCATGGTGAGAGAGGGGAGCCGATGGTTACCCTGTTAACATGGGCCGTTGTGATTCGAATTGGGCCGGGGCTCGTCCTCGATCCGAACTATCCGGCCCACGTATACGCTCAGCGCCGTTCCGCTGATTCGAATCGTGCGCCGGCACAAATCCCTTCCCGTGAGAGGATCATCCGTCCAGGAAGGGATTTCGTTCGAATTATCGGTGATCAGCTGTCAAAAAACTGCCTGGCGCATGCAGTTCTGTTCAACGCCATTTCAGCTTCGTTTGGTGTTGCCACCTTCCCACGCGTTTTTAGCTATTGCTTAAGACGATCCAAGTCCAAGATGGAAAAGAAAAAAGGAAAGAAGGTGAGGTTGAAACCATGGTGTTAAAAGTACTCTAAATATTGAGGGCCGTAAGTGGCTAGCAGCACAGCAATGCTCCCGTAATTTAGCCTTGTTAGGCGCTTGATCTATGCAGCCAGCAGGCGTCAGCATTGTTTGGTGTTATCTTTCCGTCTCAGGTTAGATTAATTTACATCTGGGGCAGGCTCCATGCTTCCAAAAACCATGTGGAGGTAGCACGGTCATTGTATATAGCTTTGCCTTGTTCTCACTTTAATTTTAGAATTGCTCTCGAAATGCTTGTAGAGAATGCCTCGAAGTTCCTTTCATTAAGTGAATACCTCAAAGCCCCAGGATGGTTTTTGCAGACGTTCCTCCCATTAGGATGTTGGCTGCTTGTCAGGTTAATTTGTGTGAGAAAGGTAACTTAAAAATTCCTGCATGATATCTATTCGAGATCACATGTCGGTTGGACCACCCCACACACACCGGCGAACTGCCGCACACAACGCCGACAGAGAGGGACTCCTCCCCCCCCCCCCCCCCACGCGCCCGAGCAGCACCTCTTATACCGCTTCCAAGGCTCATACCCACAACGCGATCTGCGTGCGACCGGCCGGCGCTGCCGTGGCACACCGCCCCGAGCCGTGATTGTTCTCCTCACTCAGACATGGGTCATCGCCCCACTCGCCTTACATGCCTACACACTGTCCTGGGCATGGTCCACCGCTACGTGATAACCAAGTATCAACACATATAGGTCATTGCAGTCAGCTCGGAATGTGAACTTTCTTTAATGATGGGACCACAATTGCCCAATGATGGTTTCAAAACGTCAAGAAAGCAAATGTGAACACTGGATGAAAATAGCTGGTATCAGTGCTCTGACTCTGCTAAATCTAGGTTTGCTACTTCATGTGGAAGAAAACAGTGCCTAAATGAAGTAATGCCTAACACCAGGGCACGTGCTGCTCGGAGGACATGTCTGTGGTGCATATCATTACCTGTTTTTGTGCTGGTGAGTAGATCTTATACTTTGATGCTTTTTTGTGCTGGTTGTCTGCAAGCCATGAGGTATGTAATTCGACTGTTGTCATAATGAATAATTTGTCACAAAATTTGAGGTAGGATTGCTGTCGTCATGACACAGCTCTCTGGCTGGTTCACGTATTATGACCTTTAGACTGTACAAACACGGCTGTTTTTGTCACCCAGCCATCAGCCCAAATCAGTCCAATGCTGTTGACTGCAATGATATCAAAGTATTTCAACCCTGGTATGTCAAGAAAGCACATAGCTGCGATCTGACTCGCCAGTCCATGCCAAGTGTGAATGGCAGTGCTGCCCTCGGGTACTGATGCTGCATTGGGTGGGGAAAAACAACATAATTGCACAATTTTTGCCACTAACTGTGTAGCATTCAGGAGTCATGTCTGTAGCGTAGCCCATTGTTGCAAGTTGCTCATAAATGCATTAGTGTTGGTGTAGGTAATATGTTTCTGGGGCTGGGCGAAGTACATGACATGATGCTGGGTGGCCCATCTGATCAGAATGTAGTAAGTTTGTGAGTGTCTGTAACGGTCCCCTTTCAAGTTTCCCTTTAGATTTATGGTTTGTTTAGTTTACCGTCCCTGCGACCCCGGCCCTACGGCCAGCCCGGAAACTGCGTGTGGACGCGGTGGCGTGGGAAGCGGGGGTGCCGGCGATTCGCACGCCGATTGTGTTGCGGGTGGGCTCGAAAGGACGATAAGAGGTGCTGCTCGGGGCGCGTAGAGGGAGTCTCTCTGTCGGCGCTGTGTGCGGCGGTTCGCCGGTGTGTGTGGAGACGTCCAGCCGCGATGTGACTTCGAGTGCAGTGTCCTTGGCCAATGCAAGAAAATGCTGATTTCCTACTAGCCCTTGCATGTCAGCAAATATTCAGGTGTCACAGGCTCCAGGTGTATCTTAAATGTCATCATAAATAATGTTAGTCAGAATAGCAAGCCATAATCTACATTGCAGAATGGGAAGCAGTAGCCTTGCTTGCACTTTTTGGAGTTCTTGTCATGTATGGATGGCCTAACACATATTACTTTAACATCATCTCTGACATTGCCATGGAGTAGCTTATAGATTTATTTACCAGTTCACTTCCTTGTCATTCTTGATTGGATACCTGTGATCAAAGAGACTTTCGAACAGAAATGTGTGCTGGAATATCTGTAAACCAGTTTTTCCTGTTTTGTTCAGATTTCTGTGATCGTGCTCCTCGCAGTGCACGACGTTCACATGTCTTAGGTCCACTAGTAAAATTTTCATGTAAAAGTAACTATGGGGCAGACATGATACTATATGGGCAGTGCTGGCAGGCTAACTACATGGGCAGTGCTGACCACGCAACTTTTGTGTTTTGAATGTTACGGCTTGTGCTGTGGCTATAAAACCAATGAGTACCGCACAGACCATTTTTCCAACGGAGTCCATCTTCCCCCTCGCCCTCAAACCCGTCTCGCGCCCACCATGGCTCTTGGCATTCGCCATCCATACGCATAGTACCGACATTTTTTTCATTTTGCCGCAAAAGCGCAGTTTTCGCCCATAATCCGTTCCTTGATTCGAACTAAGCGGGATCGAACTATCGACTGTTAATTCGACGTAAAGCCGGTCTCTCCCATGTAAACACACCTGCGAGAGGTTTAAGGTCGCATGATCCGCTCCGATCTTACTTCGAATTACTCTGGGCTACCCATGTAAACAGGGTAAGTGAAGCGGTGAACGCGTCCACAGTGCGTCTGGGAAACCAGAAGTACGGGGTTTGATCCCCCCCTCTCCCCGCCCCCGGCGCCCGCGGCTTTCCTGCCAGGGTGGGGGCAGGCGACGCCGTGGCATATAACCTCAGCAGCTGAGAGCGTCCTAAAGCTTCAATGACGGTGACCACCACCACCATGAGGAGCGTCCAGAGCAATAGAGCTGGAGCGTCAGTTGAATATTCGTCCCTTGACGTGGGTCACTAAAATGTTAGATGGTATAGGGGAGGAAGGGAGAGTCGCCTTGCGTCACGTCACAGCGGGGCAGAGTCGGCCGTGACATGCCGGTGCCCTAGCGAAGAAGCACATGAAACATCGGGACGGCCCATGGTTACCAATTGGCAAATCTTGGTCAGATGGACGAAAGATGGAAACCACGTGACTTCTGAAATAGCAGATAGCTTAAAAATAAAGTGTGAGGTGGGGCACAAAATGGTTCACTGGGATTAAAATTGTATTTAAAACACTTCCATTTGAAGCAGTCGCCCTTCTGTGATGTCAAGCCGGCGGGAGGGACGTCACACAGCGTCGGCTGGTTCGAGTGTCGCGTGACTGGCGCTGGCTGTGGATGACCCGCCAGCGGTCACTGGAACCCACGCCAGGCGCCGCGCTGTTCTGGTGCTGATGTGCGCGCTACGTTCGCCTGCTCTGCCGCAAGGCATGCCGTTCTGTCCGTCCATCGTTTCGCCTGGCGCTCCCCGTTCACCGACGTGGCCGTCAGTTCTTCCCCGTGTGACGGGCCATCTCCGTTTCAGGCCGAGAGGTCGGCAGCGGCCTGCTCGGCGCACGGTGGGTGTCTCCCGGCGCCGGCGCACGGGCCGCGGCCGGACGCCCGCCACACGGCGACGCCGCAGAGCCCGGCCGGCAGCATGGCGGGCCGGCGGCACTACAGCGGGCCCGGCGCTCGGCTCGCCGGCACCGCTGGTGCGCCGCCCAGCTCGCCGGCGGTGCGGTACTTGGCGGCGCCGAACGCGCCGATGGGCGGCACCAGCTCGGCCATGCCGCAGCCCGACCAGCTGGGTGGACACGTCTCAGTGGGCCAGCGGGGCGTGCCGGTCCAGCTCATGGGCTACCAAGGGCAGCCGGCGCGTGTAGCCGCGCCTGCCGTACACTACCAAGTGCAGCAGGATGTGCAGTTGACTTTTGGTGCGGCTCAGGTGCCGACCGGCCCGGTCTTGCTCACTGGCCATTCCTGGACGCCTAAGCTGACGCAGGGCACGCCCGTGCTAGTGCTGAACGATGTTCAGCAGGCGCAGTGGAACCAGCAGTTGCTGCGCATGAACTCAAGCACTTTGCATTCGCGCCAAAATATGCAACTTTCAATGCATCCGCAGCCTCGAACGCAAATGCGACCGCAAGCGCAACAAACACAACGAATGCAGCTTCAGATGCAATCGCCACCACAACCGTCGCCCTTACAACGGCCGTCACTACAAGCGCAAGTTCGCCCGCAACAGGAGCCGCAGCTACAGCAGCCTCAGCAGGGGCAGCGCGGCGGCCGGGGTGGGGCGGCGGCCAGCGCTCGCGGCAGGGGCAGTAGTGGCAGGGGGAGGGCGGCGGCGCGCGGTCAGAAGCGGCCGGCCGCCGCGCTCGCCCAGCCGCCCGCCAAGCGGCTGACGCTCGACGAGGACGACGACGAGCCGTGCGGGCCCGTCTGCGCCACGTGCTTGCGCGAGTTTAGCAGCCGGGCGGAGCTGCGCGAGCACGAGCGCGCCTGCCGGCTGCAGCTGGAGCGGCGCCAGCTGGTGTCGCTGCCGACGGCGCCGCTGCCGCAGCTGCCGCTGCCGCCGCGGCTCGAAGCCGTGCGGCCCAGTCCACTGCCAGGTCAGTCCGCCGGCCGTCGACCGCCGGCGTGCGCCACGTGCGGCGCCCAGTTCCTCCAGGATGTCGAGCTGCGCGCGCATGCGCCGCGCTGTCGGCCGGTGCCGCCGCCGTCACCGTCGCCGGCGCCACCACCGCCGCCGCCGCTGTCGTCACCGTCAGGAGCCGGCGCGCCTCCTGTCAGGGTTAGTGCGTGCGTCGCATCGGCTGGCCACGCTCTGGCTGTTGCGGTTGGGAGCGCTCTGGGTTAGACGTGCTGTCCACACACGGACTCTGCACTCAACAGGCTGGTGCTTTGGCCATTGCTGCCTGATTCCGTGGGTGCATGCATACATGCTGTTTCACTTGGCGCCGGTGTGGTAATCGCATTGCATGTTGCTAGGTTGTCTGTGCACAAGGAGATCCGTTTTTTCCACGGAGATGCTAGTTTCCTTCCAGAAAAGGTTGGTGTCGGGATATTTCCCTCAAATAGCTTCCTCCTTTGGGGGGCGAGTGACATCGTTAAAAGCTGCCACAGCATACGCTGCGTTGGGGGGAGCTGCTTAACATGTCACTAGGAGTTGCATCTGTCGTGTCACAAAGTATACAGAAGACAAATATTTTGATCAAGTAGAGCGCAATCAGCTGGTCCGGGCTCTAAACAGCGCTGTTTCGCCTCGAATATAGCGATGGCGACGTGTGGGGAAACTCGCAAAAGTTCAGGTGGCAAAGCTGGGGCGACCATCCTGCAGTAATCCGGTAAAATTATGGTAATTTCACCTAAAGTTGGTGGCGTCGGTGCCGCATGTGCCGGATTTTTCACCCACGACGACGATCATAAGTTTGGCCAGTCGGTTTGGACGACCCTATCGCCCCGCCCATTGACATTAGGTGCGCGCCGGCGCGCCTTTGGGGGTGATCACATCACGACCGACGGGGCTGATAACGGCAGGGGATGATCACGTCACGACCGAGGGGGCTGATGACGGCAGGGGATGATCACGTCAATACCGACGGGGCTGATAACGGCAGGGCATGATCACATCACTACCGACGGGGCTGATAACGGCAGGGCATGATCACATCACGACCGACGGGGCTGATGACGGCAGGGCATGATCACATCACTACCGACGGGGCTGATAACGGCAGGGCATGATCACATCACTGCCGACGGGGCTGATAACGGCAGGGGATGATCACGTCACGACCGACGGGGCTGATGACGGCAGGGCATGATTACATCACGACCGACGGAGCTGATGACGGCAGGGGATGATCACGTCACGACCGACGGGGCTGATGACGGCAGGGGATGATCACATCACGACCGACGGGGCTGATAACGGCAGGGGATGATCACGTCACGACCGACGGGGCTGATGACGGCAGGGCATGATCACATCACTACCGACGGGGCTGATGACGGCAGGGCATGATCACATCACGACCGACGGGGCTGATGACGGCAGGGCATGATCACATCACGACCGACGGGGCTGATAACGGCAGGGGATGATCACGTCACGACCGACGGGGCTGATAACGGCAGGGGATGATCACGTCACGACCGACGGGGCTGATGACGGCAGGGGATGATCACGTCACGACCGAGGGGGCTGGTGGCGGCCTGGCGGGTGAACGGTTTGCAAAGATTTCGCGAAGTGTGAGGGGCTTTGTGTGACTAACTCGATCCGATCCAGTCCGATCCAATACGATCATCACATTAAATCAGGTCCGTTCCGATCCGGTCCGATCTTACCTGACGCCTGGCCCTACTTAACGCTTTGGCAGGCTGACTTGTTTGCAACTATCTGTATGGAAGGATGATGTTTGCTCAGTAAGGTAAGTATGTTTTCAAAAAATCGTCGTAATTTGCACGCCTCATTTGTCATGGGTGCACACAAACATCCATTGCAAACATTGCATAAACAATGCGCCACTGCTGATCAGCTCAACTTGAACTACTGTTTTCAAAGGAAGTGAAATCAACGGCATGCCTGAGTCAAGCAATAGCCTATGGTTGAAACAGCCTTTTGCAAATAACCTCGGTAATGCTCGAACGTCATTGCTAATAAGTGTGCAGTCTAGCGGGCACCAGGCTGCTGGAACTCTGATGATTGGCTGTGTAAACTTACCGCTTCCGTCGTTCCTGCGCACGTCGAGTATGTCAGTGGTAGTTGAACTCCACACTCTGCCATGCGGCTTACTCGCTGTGCGTCCCGAGGCGTCTCGCTTCTTCGTTGGACTGGCCTGTTTTCTGGAGCATATAAAGTAAGAATATTGTCATAAGATTCATGGTTGTCGCAGTCTGGCCAGACTACTGAAGGAATACTTTGGCCACTTTTGGGTAAGACTAAAAGAATGCTGTTGAATGTTTCGAAGCACGTGTTTTCGAGCGAAATGGCAAAACGTGGAAACGTGGTACAATGGTGCAACACGTGCGAAGCCCTTTAACTTCTGTGATAGCAAGTCAGCTGCTTACATCGGTCAATCTTGTGTCCGTGCAAGTTGAATTCACACCTCAGATGCGGAGAAACGTTAAGCTCTCCACCTGGAGGTCATATATCACGCACCCCTCCGACGCGACTCCAGTCACTCAAAATCTACAGTTCGGAACCAGCGGCTCTCCCAGAACACATTGTAGACCACATTGCTGATGTAAATACGGCATTGCTGGTGTTCAGCGCAGTCTTATGGAAGAATCTCTTAAAAATGGCAGTTTCAAATACAGCGCTTGAGATGTTGAGATCCCCGGGAAAAATCGAAGAGACCCGACTGCGCAGTCCATATTACACATTTCTAGCTACGTACGCACAGCTGAGTTGCGACCTGAGAGGTGCCGCTCTCCGGTGAAGCATTTTTCATTTTTGGAGAGGGCTGTGGAGAAATGTTCTGACATTATGTTGCGTGAAAGTTTAATCTGATCATGTATTTATAGGATATCATGGCTGGAATCTGGAATCTGTCAGAATGCCAGATGTGGATCTTTGGATAAGGGCGCACAGTCCCATTCTGAGAGTTGAGTTCTGAACGATGAAATGTTTTGGTTCGTAGGCAGGACGTCGGGCCCTGCAAGCGGTCCACGGCGCCCACCTGGCCTGCGGGCGGGACTCGGTCTGCCATATCCTCACCTGAATGACGTCATGACGGTGCCAGTGTCACATAACACAGCTGGCGTGGCGGCTCGGCCGTGCGCGGTGTCTGCTTGTCAGCTGCCGTGAGCGCGCCTGGGCCCCGTCCAGTCAGCGGTTTACATGACTGCTGCCGGACCGGATGTGCCATGTTTCTTGTGCTGCCGGACCGGATGTGTCATGTTTCTTGTAGATAAAAACGGGCGATCACCGAATGACGCTGGAGGGGGATGGGCGTCCGTTGCATGCTGACCACCGTCGCCTCTCAGTGGGCAGGATTGATCGGCACATGCCGGACAAGTCCTTGCCACTGGCGATGTTCTAGTACACCACAAAAGCCAACTGCTGTCTCGAAGTATGGCAGGACGCGTAGTGCGATTGCTGCGCGGGAAGGTCTGCTCGCAACTGACAGTGAAAAAAGGATCTTTGAAGGGAATGAAATGAGCACCCGCGTGCAGATTGGGAAATGTTCATGCGGACGATGTGTGTGACACACCCAACATGCGACTGCGATAGTATGCCTTCCCACCTAATGTACGCGTATTACTTTAGTATTGCCCTATTCGCGACAAGCGAAAAGGCGAGAAATGTGGGCGACCATGTGGCCCGCACTGTACCCGTGTTTGTGACCTACAAGGACTTTGTAGCGTTGTAGCGTTTTTTTTACAACATTTTCCCAAATCTCTAGGGTCTTGTGCCTTCCTCTGTGCCTTACAAGAACAATGGAGATGATTAAAGGGCAATCTTGCTTCGTTTGGCGGAAAGACGCCTTTGCAATACCCTGCAATGTTTTGGAACATTTTCGAAACCTTCTGGTCGACTGTGTCTTGCGAAAACACCCGTTTTGGTTTCAAAAGAATTGCCCTGCTTTGTTTGTCATAAACTGCTATTGCAACACCCGGCGGTCTGTGCAACAATTTTCCAAATTATTCTTTGGAAGCTCTTGCGCCTTACGAAAAAACTAAAGGTGGTTTTAGGGTTTTATCCTGCTTGATTTGGCCGTTATTCGCCTTTACAGCGTTCCGCAGCCTCTGCAGCAATTGTCTAACTCCGTCTCTGAGATGAAGCATTTTCCATCGTGCAATCTTTGCAACGGCTATCTACATCCGTCCTTGAAATGGAGTGCATCACCGATAAGATAGACGGGCAACCAACGACCTGCACCAGGTGCAGCTGTTGCGCATCATTGACCGCAATAGGGCCTCGTTTGTATCACTATTTGACGGCTGTGGAATAGCTGACTACCATTATCGCTGTTCGTGCGTTACCATGAAAATGACGGCCAAAGGTCACCACACCCACCATTGTGTTACAAATATGCGCCCTATTATTCGGGAAAATGTGTCGTCACTTTTTATTTGGACAATTCAGTACTTGACAAAGTTGCGGCATATCACAATTTTGTGTCTCGATCCAGTCGTATTATTATGGAAATCTGGTAACGTTGGCAGACTGATATAGGGTGAGTTGGCGTGCTAAAAAGGCACTAAACATGATATTTTTTAGTGCAAAAATGAGCGTGACGTTCGAAGTGACGCGTTAAGGTGCTTAGTGCACCAGAAGTTCGGATACATTTTGATGAATTTAATCGATCTAGAATTCCCTTTTGTCCATATATGCATGGGGGGGGGGGTTCAGAAAAGCAATAACGGTGCTCATTTAGCATAGGGATTCACCCCTTCCTCAAAGCATACAAAGCGGTGCCCCTGCTCGGAGGCTCATAATGGATCAGCCACGTGGCGAGGGATCCGTAACATAGGCATGCTGTTGGATTTACTCAGTGTTTGGCGTCCCGTCGTATTATCGTTCGTCTCATTAGCAAAGTGATGGCACGTAGATTCTGTCCAGTAATGAATTTGTCCGTAGAGTGGATATGGCAGTGAAGTCTGTAAAAGCGGTCTGAAGTCATCAGACCTGTGTGCTTGAGATGCGTACTGACTTGGTTGGGTAAGTGAACGGCGTCTGCGCTGTGTGCCATCAAAATTTTGTCATTTTTGTATTGAAACTGTCTCGTTTGGCGATGGGCCATGCATGCGGAGTTAAAAATCAAAGCTGAAGGAATTTAGTCCGACCGCGTTTGTCGTCTCTCCACGATCATTTCGTGCATGTTTACCATCAGTCGTTCGGAAGATTTAATTTTATTTGCCGGAGATGCGGACGGAGTCCGTTAATTAAAGAATAAATTCAGTTCCCGACAATTCCTTCAGAACTTGCGACGATCGTGGTCTGAGTGATTCATCAACGCGTTGCCGAATTTGAAAGCAAACAACATGAGCCAGCCAAACAACAGTAACAGTCTTGCTCACACGACTGAATGGGCTTTCGAACAGCTCTCAATGCGAGAGATTGCGTTAAATCGGTCCGGTGGTATAGAATGACCCGCAATGTTCGTCGCTTTTTACACCAAAATCTCGCTAAGAACTGTGCGTGTTGCAAATGAGGAGCTTCTTCTCGAATGAAAACGTCCGTCATCCCGGACGCAATTTTCTGTGAAGACCCATGCTAGTCATGAAATTAACTGACCGGTGATAAACAACTAATCTCAATGCAGAGTTTCCGACCAAATTTGCATAAAGAACTATTGCGCGTCGCAAACAAATTGTTACGCCACCAATCGCAAGGGCGGTGATTGCTTGTGCCCGCATTACGACCCGCATTTGTACGACCCGCATTACTCGTGGCGACTCGTGCAGGTCACGCACTTAACTGACGCGTATCAACAGGGTTTGAACACATGGCTTGTTTGCCTTTCAGTTTCACCATGTTCAATCCTCGTTTGCTTTCCTTGTTTCCTCCCTCATTTTTGCGACCAGCCCTGGTGTTTCAATAAAATATATATTTAGATCTCCAAGCACACGGCGCTTGTCTACAAGCATGAACGCCAAGCAGGGTCGGCGCTGAGCCGGCTACACGCGTGCCAGCGGTGTATCTCCCCTCCCCTCCCCTCCCCGGATCCTGCCCGCCCCGGCCTCATCAGCGCGTCCCTCTCCCTTCCCCTCCCCGGATTCTGCCCGCCCCGCCTTATCAGCGCATCCCTCTCCCTTCCCCTCCCGGATCCTGCCCTCCCCCGCCTCATCAGCGCGTCCCTCTCCCTTCCCCTCCCCGGATCCTGCCCGCCCCGGCCTCATCAGCGCGTCCCTCTCCCTTTCCCCTCCCCGGATCCTGCCCGCCCCCGCCTCATCAGCGCGTCCCTCTCCCTTCCCCTCCCCGGATCCTGCCCACCCCCGCCTCATCAGCGCGTCCATCTCCCTTCCTCTCCCCGGATCCTGCCCGCCCCGCTTCATCAGCGCGTCTTAGGGTCTTTTACACGGATTACACAGCGAATTCGCACCTAACCCGGGTCAGGAGTGTAGCAGAGAGGAGAGAAGGGAGGGTAGGAAGACATGACTGGGGGGGGGGGGGGGCTCGGGGGTTAGAAAGGCATGGCTGGGGGATAGGAAAAGATGGGTGGGGAGGGGCAGACATGTAGAGCTGACTGCAACCCTTCAGCTGTTCGTCTCAGTTCCTCCACTCACATGTTGATGGCTTTGGTCGTCTAGCACAGAGTGCCAGCCAAGCCTCCGTGTACAGGGCGCCCAGGCCTGAGTGCCGCTCCTCCTCCCCCTCCCCCCCCCCCCCCCTCCCAATGTGACGCTCTCCCGGTTTTCCTGCTATTGCACGTCTTCGCAGGCTCCGGCCATGGGCTTCGTTTGTTCCCGCTCGTGCTCACTTGCAGTTCCCTCTCGCATACGTCATTTCACGGGCCAGGATAAGTTCAGGGCCTGGGAAGGCGGGCGTGTTGGGATGCCCTGGGGCGACGACTGGCCTAAAGTTCTGCGTTACAGCGGTCCGCTCCGCACTGGTTGACTCGAGTTCGGACTTCGAGACCGCCTGCGAGGCGGGGGATTTTGCGAACCTTGTCCTACGCGAGTGTGCTTCTCTGGTTTGCTTGGCCCTTCTCGGCCGTCCTCCGGCGGTCCTCTGTCCCCATGCGGCGTGAAACCTGGGCGGGATCGGAAGGTGCTCGGCTTTGATGCCTCACCAATGGCTTCGCTCGTGGATTCTCGCTACATGATGACCTTGTTTTGGGTGGTCGGTGCGCGTTCGTGACATGAGGTGCTGTTCCAAGGGCCCATCTGCTGTTCTTCCTCCCACGCGCTTTGCCCCTTAGCGATCCCGTCTGTGATCTGCTCCTGGCATTTTGGACGTGAGATAGGTGTCAAAGGGCGTTATGTTTGTATGTGTGTATACATCTATGTATTCGTGAAAATCTCCACAGTGGGCTCTTCCGACTTCCCAGTCAGCACATGTGCTTAGCGTAGCGACGAACTTGTCAGTTAGTTCAGATGAAATTCAGATACGAACGGCCTTAAAGAAATGCACATAGGATGCACGATGCGCACAATTAGTCTGTAACCAATCCGACACACCTGAGTGAAAATGTCATTGATGCTAGGGCCATTATATCTGGCGTAAGACGATTCCACGTGCAAGTGGCGCGGCATACACATGATCGTGGGGTGAGTCCAGTTCGGGCGCGCGGAGTCTGTGACAGAAGGCTTTCAGAGCCTCGCCTAGATCGGGCGGACGTCAGGGCGCAGGACAGCAAGGGCACGCAAACTCTGGCACCGTTGGCAACGTCATGCGAGGGTTGAGAGCTAGAAGGTCGCGTTGGGCCAAGGGTTCGTAAATTTCGAGACACAAAAATTAGAAACCGTATTTAATTGTTTTTACGCGCGGACTCTTCCCCCTAGTGATCTTGTTTTTGACATTGTCTCGGTACTTTTGACGTGAGATATTGTTCGGAAGGGCCCTAAACTGCTCATCCGGCACGGCCCATGCGTGCAGACGCCTTGCGCGGCCTACTGGCCCATCCCTGGCTGTCTGACTTCCAGCGGTCCGCTGACCCGTCGGTGGCTGTCGGACTTCCAGGCAACGTCCCACTTGCCATGCAGAGTAGGAACCGGAGGGGGACGCAATAGGAAGTATAGTTACAAAAGCATATACGCATACGCAGTACTGGTCGAAACGTAAGCTCCGCCTTACAGCTGCGGGTAAGATAACACTCGGATTATGATCGTTAATAATAAATTACACCAGAGGACAGCAAAGGGTTCGTGACTGCGCGGTGCTGCTGGGTGTGCGGCTTCAGGAGCAGGCTGCATTAGTGGCTGGTCAGCAGCTACGGCTGCAGAGACGCAGATCGTCGAACGCAGGCTCGAGCTCGAACTGGAGCAGGCGGGCGCCCGCCGTTTATAGAAGAGGGATTGCAATGCTGAACCGTACCAATACCGATCCGCATAGACCACCATTCAATGGCGACCTGAATCGTGTCATCATGCTGAGACGTCACTGAATAGGTGTGTGTGTGTGTGTATGCGTGTGCGTGTGCGTGTGCGCGTGTGTGTGCTTCGCTCCGTTAGGGTGAGGCCCAAGTCTTTATTCTCAACGTTCTATTTATATTGACCGGTCAGGTGAAAAGATCCTTGTTGGATCCTTGATGAACACACATCTGAACCTGAACCCGAATCGGGAGCTGCACGGGTGGCATCTCTCCGACGCTGCCAGCTTGGTTGGTTTGGGTCGCATGTAGCCTCTGCGATGAATGCGCCGTTAGAACCCAATCACTGCGATTTTGTCGGTGTAGCTTCGTTATTGTGATACTATCCTCGGTTAGCTTTACGGTCAGGCTGCGAATAGTATTCGTTGCACAACATGCTTTGTAGAAGTCTGCTGTCTGCCTTCCCATTCCGTGCTCTTGTGCATTGAATCGGAATGAAAGGCACCAGCTAATTGTTCACTTTACCAGTTTTTATCAACGCCGAGCGTGACCGGTTCATTGCTAAAAATTATTGCTGATGCCGTTGCCCTGGCAAGGGTGGTTAATGACGGGGAGGCCTCCGCAGCGCCGAAAACGCCGTACAAAGCTGTGTGTTATCTGTGCGCTTCCGTTCTGGAGCGTGATTGAGCGGGCCGGCGTGGCCGGGGCGCGCTTCATCTGTGTGCCTGTCGTCCCCAGTTGCCGCGCTCAACATCCCGTGCGACCTCTGCGTGTGACGGAACTGGTCCGGCGACTCTCACCAGTCCGACCGTCTCTGCTGCCGTCCCTGCTGGCGGCGTTAGCTCCACCACCGTCGCCGTTGGTGGGGCCAGCCCCACCTTCATCTCATCTGTCGACGCCAGCTCTACCACCTTCACCGCTAGTGGGGCCAGCTCCACCTTCCTCTCATCTGTCGGCGCCAGCTTTACCACCGTCGCCGCTGGTGGGGCCAGCTCCACCTCCATCTCATCTGTCGGCGCGAGCTCTACCACCGTCGCCGCTGGTGGGGCCAGCTCCACCCCCATCTCATCTGTCGGCGCCAGCTCTACCACCGCCGCCGCTGGTAGGGCCAGCTCTGCCTCTATCTCATCTGTCGGGATCAGCTCTACTTCCGTCGCCGCTGGTGGGGCCAACCCTGTCTCCATCTCATCTGTCGGGTCCAACTCTACTTCTGTACCCGCCGGCGGAGCCATATCCACTTCCGTCCCCGCCGGCGGGGCCAGCTCTACTTCCGTCCCCGCCGGTGGGGCCTGCTCTACTTCCGACTCCTCTGTTGAGGCCATCTCCACTTCCGTCAACTCCGTCGGGGCCAGCTCCGCTTCCGTCCCCGCCGGTGGGGCCAGTTCTACTTCCGTCTCCTCTGTTGAGGCCATCTCCACTTCCGTCAACTCCGTCGGGGCCAGCTTCGCTTCCGTTCCCGCCGGTGGGACCATCTCCACTTCCGCCCCCTCTGTCGGGGCCAGCTCCACTTCCGCCCCCTCTGTCGGGGCCAGCTCCACTTCCGCCCCCTCTGTCGGGGCCATCTCCACTTCCGCCCCCTCTGTCGGGGCCAGCTCCACTTCCGCCCCCGCTGTCGGGGCCAGCTCCACTTCCGCCCCCGCTGTCGGGGCCAGCTCCACTTCCGCTCCCGCTGTCGGGGCCAGCTCCACTTCCGTCTCCTCCGTCGGGACCAGCTCCACTTCCGTCCCCTCTGGCGAGGCCATCTCTGCTGTTGTGCACGACGTCCAGACCGCCTCGTCTGCCGCTGCCGACCGGAGCACCCGTGCCGCTGCGTCTGCCGACAGGGGCGCTGTGGCGTCTCTGGTCGGCGGCCGGGTGAGCCCTGGTGCCGTCATAGCCGAGAGTCGGGTGCGCCTGACCGGCCCGACCGTGTCCCCTGCCGCCCGGCCTGACGCGGCGCCGACGGCCGGCGGCGGGCCTGCAGCTGCCCCCAGGGCGCCGTCCGAGACGGATGCTAGCGGTGCCGGCTCGGCTTCGGGACTGGACCCGGCTGGGGGCGGGCCTTCCAACGCAGTCGGCAGGGGTGAGGCCCTGACAGCAACGGCTTCAGCCCACGGCCGACCCCGCCGCGCAGGCGTCGAGCAGTACTACGGCGTTGTCAACCGGTTCTACCGGGAGGAGGTACGCGCCTCGGCCGCCTCTGCTGTCGTCAGGGCAAACGACCGGCGGCCCAGTGCGGCGGCCAGTGAGGACGCCGAGGTGGACGGCGACCGGTCCCCGGACTGTGGCGTGGGCTCCCCGCCGGACCTTGGTGAGACTGCAGCCCAGACTGCGTCGGACTGCAGCCCAGACCGGCCGCCGTGGCGCGGCCGCGGCGACAGTCCGGTGCCCGAGCGGCTGCTGGCTGTGCTCCGGCGACCGGCCTTCGTGCTGCTCCAGCCAGTGGACGACGTGATCGGCGACCCGAACGAGCCAGTGGTGCGCGCCGCCGCCTACATCGTGCACGGCGACGAGGTGGTGGGCAGGCGGGTCTGCGCTGACCGGGCCCAGCTCGCGCCGGCAGCCGAGACGGAGCTGAGTGCTCTGGGCGATGAACCCCGCGGACCTGCCGGATTGTCCCCGAAAGGTCAACCTCAGCAGAAAAGGGTTAAACAGAGCGAGACGGCGCAGAAGGCGACGGGCAAGCGAAAAGCAGCTACAGGTAACGCTGACTGTCAAGCGAAACAATCGAGAGGGCTCCGCACCGATCGGGGGAGGAGGGCTGTGCAGACGTCGCTGGCCCAGTACCTGGAGCCGAGTGGGAGTGGTGCGGCCGCGGCCTACCCGGGGTCGGAAGCGGGCCAATCCGTGACGGTGCCTGATGGCGGGGAGCATCCGCTGGCCTCCGCCGCCGCCGACATTGACAATGGTTCGGAGGGGGAGACGACGGCTGGGAACAGGAAGCGTCGCGAGGGTCGAGACCGTCTGGTTTCGTCCGACAAAGACCCGGGGGACGAACCAGACCGCAGCAATGCTGAGGGGATGGTGATGGTACGCCGCCGCCGCCGCCGCCACTGCCCACTGTCGTCCGATAGTGAGCGCTCCGCGCACGAGAGTGGTGACGACGCCGCGACAACGCGCAGACCGACCCGCCGTCGCCGGAGCCCGCCCTCGTCGGACGCTGATTCCCAGAACAGCGAGCGGGAGGTCGTGGCGACGGGGCGGAGGCTCACTCGCTGCCGGCGGCGGGCCGCTCGGTTGGGCGACAACTCCCGGGACAGCGAGATGGACGCCGTGTCAAGGGCGGCGCGCAGTCGGCGCCGCGCGCGCGTCTTCTACGCCGAACCGCGCTCGGATGCCGAGGAGCCGGCCTCGCCCAGCTCGCCCGAGTACCAGCCAGAGTCGGTCGACTGGGGCGACGACGACCGCCGCTCATCTGCTGCCGACAACGGGCTGGCGTCGGACACCGGCTCGGAGGCGTCGGCGACCGAGGGTGCGGCGCCGGACGGCGACCGGTCGGCGCCGGACGACGACCGGTCGGTGCCGGACGGCCGGCCGCCCGAGCTGCAGCCGTGGTTGCAGCCGCGCGTCGTGCTGCCGCGCGCCCAGCTGCGGCGCGTCGACGGCCTCGACGTGCAAGAGATCCTGGGCATCGCTGCGCCCACGCAGGCGGTCCGTCCGTTCCGTAGCGATGAGCTGGTGGGCGTGCCGGTGGGCGCGGCGCCGTCGGCGGCCGACTGGGACGCCGTCATGTCGCAGTGGGTGGCGCTGGCCCGGCAGCACCGCGCCCGCCTCTGCGAGGTGAAGCGGCGCGCTCACCAGGTGCGCTACCTTCGCACGCGGCTGCGGCAGGCGTTGAAGGCGCGCGGACTGCTTCCGGCGCAGGCGGTGCCAGCAAGGGAGGCGGAGACAGTGCCAGTGGTGGGGATGGCGCGAGCAAGGGAGGCGGAGACGGGGACGGAGACGGAGGCGGAGACGGCGACGGAGACGGCGACGGCGACGGCGACGGCGACGGCGACGGCGACGGCGACGGCGCCAGCGCCAGCGGGGGAGGTGGAGACGACGCCAGCGCCATCGAGGGAGATGGAGACGGCGCCAGCGCCAGCGGGGGAGGTGGAGACGGTGACAGTAGGGGCAGCCGGGCGAGTCGGCGACATCTAGGCAGGCGCTGGCGGCGGCGTTGGCGGCAGGATGAGGACTTGAGCGAGTGACAGACGAAGCATCTGGTGTGGCGTTACTTAAGGCACGGCTAGTGTCGGTCACTACAGGCCGGTGTGACTCGGCGCGAGCCATCGTGCTAAGCCTAATTGAGGCTTTGTGTTCTCTTCTGGTGACCGCGCGTCCCGGATTTGACCGATCTTGTGATCCAGAGCGGTCGTAGGGGCCGTTTTCCGCCGCACCGATCTGCCGCCGATGTGAAGTGGCAGAGCATGCGTGCTCCGATTGGCGCTTATGATTTTAGAATGTTGTGATAAGCCGCGGAGGACTGCCAACAGTAGCCGTGATATGTATGACACGCTAGTTGACTGGCGTTAGCGTGCGCCAGGAGCGGTCGGGTCTGTGGCATTCGTGTGTCAGGAAAGTTAGCATGGTTCAAACACCCGACGCCTGCGCTTAGTACTTAGCATGCGTTCCGACATATGTGTTCTTTGCAGCGACATCCTCACATTTCATTATGCTCCACCGACTGAGAAGTGTATCGCTGGCGAACATCGTCTCTAAATATGATCTGTTTTGGCTGAATGCGTTTGCCAAAGTATAGGTGTGCGTTGGCTGTAAGACTCGTACTGCGGTGATGTCCAAACCGACTGGGCCAAACAAACGACAGACACTGTTGTGAGTGTGGTATGCCGGACGTATTCAGACATTCCGCGTTGGTGTCCTGCCAAAGGGCTGTGAAACTATGCGTTGTAAGAAATGCCAAGCGGAATAAAAGTGACCTTTCGTTTTAACATGACGTCGGTATTACTGCCTCTGCACGGATTTGTAACTGAAAAGCGTTTTAACATGACGTTGGGGTTTCTGTCTCCGCACGGAGTTGTAAGCATTTAAAACTTGTCGCCGACGAAACGGTGACCCATGATATCAGTGAGGATGGCCTGTTGGGCGAAACATACTAAACCGTAACGCTTCCGTTTGTAACGTCTTCCTCTGTTTCTGCCAGTTTGTGTAGCTCGTATTTTGTTCAGGTCACCACCGCAGCTCGGAGCACTGGGCATCTGTTTAACTCTGCTTGTTCTTTTCAAAGTCCATAAACGGCGGAGAAATGTCCAATTGTGTTCTTGACGCCGCTAAGCGAGAGGTACACGTTGCACGGTATAGTCCAGGGTGAGTGTCAGTTTCGGGTCTCAGTCGAGTTAGTCCCAGTCGGTTGAGTGAGTCTCAGTTGTGTGAGTCAGTCGAGTAAGTCCCAGTTGCGTGAGTCAGTCGGGCGGGTTTCGGTCGAGTGTTGCAGTTGGTCGAGTGAGGCTCAGTCGGCCGAGTGAGCCTCAGTCGGTCGAGTGCGCCTCAGTCGGTCGAGTGAGCCTTGGTCGGTCGAGTGAGCCTCGGTCGGCCGAGTGAGCCTCAGTCGGTTGAGTGAGCCTCGGTCGGTCGAGTGAGCCTCAGTCGGTTGAGTGAGCCTCAGTCGGTCTAGTGAGCCTCGGTCGGTTGAGTGAGCCTCAGTCGGTTGAGTGAGCCTCAGCCGGTCGAGTGAGCCTCGGTCGGTCGAGTGAGCCTCAGTTGGTCGAATGCGCCTCAGTCGGTCGAGTGAGCCTCGGTCGGTCGAGTGCGCCTCAGTCGGTCGCGTGAGCCTCGGTCGGTCGAGTGAGCCTCAGTTGGTCGAGTCTCAGTTGCGTGAGTCAGTCGAGCGAGTCTCAGTCGAATAGGTTTCAGTCGATCGAGTGGGTCTCAGTCAGACGAGTGAGTCTTAGCGGTCAGTCGCTTGAGTTTCAGTCAGTCGGGTGGATCTCAGTGTCGTCCAACTCCACACTAAGTGCGTCAGCTGATGTATATCGACATGTGACCCCTGGAAAGGCACTGACACGGTGCGCGCCATTAACGTACAATGTCAATAGCTAGAGGGTTGGCGGGAGAGCTGCAGGTTACAAACAGCCGGGAAGTCAAATATCCGCTGAGACGAAAGGTAACAGCCGGTGCAAGTAAGCGGAAAAGAACACCGTGACAACTCGCCGCTACGTCCCCAGTGTGGCGGTGTAAAACACTGGGCCCCAGGCGCCAGCACACGCGGCGTTGTGAGACACTGAGCACCAGACACCAGCACACGCGGCGTTGTGAAACACTGAGCACCAGACACCAGCACGCGGCCTCGGTGCATCAGCTGCTTGATGCCATTTTTCAATAACCCGCCCGCGCCAAGTGCCTTACATCAACGATATGCCACAATTCGTCGACACGACGAACGCATCCGTTCTGGATGTAAGTGAGTAATGGTAATGTCAGATCAAGCTGAGAAGGCCTGCCAGGAGCGGATCCAGGATTTCGTCAGGGGGGGGGGGGGGCACGCAGCGTTGTGGGGCCCCTCAGTTTGGCCCAAAAAAGTTCCTGGCACTCCGGTCATTACATTTGAAGACAAGCGGCATGGGCATATAAATGTATTTGTGTATATATATATATATATATATATATATATATATATATATATATATACAAATACAGAAACCCCATCTTATTTCGCGCGGCCCTGTAAAGCTAGGCATCCATATACATAGACCTCATTCATGTTCCGCGTGTCATGTTAAATCCTGTAATTTGGGGCTGAGTGTTTCGGAACAACAGGGAAAATTAAGTCGAGTTGGCGGCTAACAACCATCGAAACCGAGCACGGGCGTGATTCGTTCCTTATTATTTACGGTTAGCCGGCTGGGCGGAGTAATCAGCTGATGGCTGATGACTAATGCAGAATTTTTCCTTTGTTATAAAAGAAGTACAAAATAGCCTAGCACTCAAAACATGCTAAGAACGCGATGTACTAGTATGATAAGTGTCACACACTCAAAAGCGAATGGAATTGACAGATGTGATGCCGGCGACACGTAAAATTGAGTTCGACAATTACGTGTAAAAATTAATTAGCGCCTATCTGACTGCTGCTGTAAGGTGAAGGCGCTAAGGCCAATAGGGACGGAACCTGAGCCGTTATGGGTGCCACAGGAGGCCAATAAAGTGGCTCCCGCCAACAAGTGTAGGGCCATTAGAGCAAGTAAAAAGAACCCAAGAGTAACGTGGTGGGTCCTAAACGATCGGTAGTGACCCGAAAGGCTGGCATGTGAGGCCCCGGCCAGAGCGCAGTACCCGCTGAGCAAAGGAAATTATCAAAGATCATGAGTGTAGCGCGTAACCGAATACGCGTCCGCACTGCGCCGTTGTCAGCGCGTCAGCGGGACACTCGGCTCGCTAACGAGAACAATGCACTTAGACTGACTCGTTCGACGCAGATGCATTGTCTTGTTTACTTCGTATGCTAGTGATTAGATACGCCATATGTGGTTACCCGTAGCCGTAGTTGCTTTAAGCAAGGGTTGCGACATAGCGCGCCTCTGCTGCTGCTTAACGTGGGCTCACACGCGCATTAGAATTGCACAACGTCGAGGGCTCCAGAACGCCCCATCCCCAGTGTTTGGA